CGTCTTTTCGTCAGTAAGTAGGTCTCATACAAAAGCCATCATTTTACTGATCTAAGAGGTGCCTGGCATTCCGTTCAATGACAAGTATGTCATTTCTGAAATAAGTCAATAAAATTAAATCACTAAATGCAGTCAACTTATAACTTTTCAAAAATCAACGTCTATTTGCGGTTAATTTGGCGCAGATTTGAGGCTGATGATAATCTCATCGGCTTCGAAATTGACGTGTATTAAATAAGCTTGCCATCCGCAACTTGCCCCGTGGATTTAAAGCTAGTTCGGGGAAATTCGGGGCTAATGATAATCTCCTCGTTGAAGAGCTTTTTCGGATTTGAATTTTATTAAATAAGCTTGCCGTCCGCAACTTAGTTATCAAATTCTGCCTTTTGGTATCGAGCAAATGCTCTGCGCGTTCGAGGAGACTTTTTCATCTCTTCCCAGTCCCGCGCAAACCCACTTCATAATTTCTCTGCGGGTTCAGTGGTCCGGAAAATGATACAATTAAAAGCTGCGCCTTCTGAAGCTCCGATTTGTTGGAAAGCCGATTTGCCCCCCCCCTCTCCCCCCACTTATCCGCAGCAATTCCCGGCTGCTCACTGACAAAAGATATTATTTCGGTTCCTTTCGCATTTTTTCCGGTCGTTGATCAGTAAGTAGCATCGTGCCTCTATCAATCGTTTTAACTTGCCCTTTATATTGATATCAATTTTCCTTTTGTTTTTTTTTTTCATTTCTCTCTCGCGCTCTCTCTAGAACAGTGAGCGATTCGCTAGCTGAGTAAAATGCATTTCACTGTATTTTAAAATTAACAATTGCATCATTCATTTTTCAAATAATCACTTCTATTCGACCCTTCTACGCTCAAGACCTCCTTTATGAATTGCTCTTAATTATACCCCCTACAAGAAATTTCTAATTTTGCCCATGTCTTGATCTGCATCAACTTCAAAAAGGATTTCGAGCGATGTTTTCATTCAGTCTCTTTGCAAGCTTTGTATGCATCCACATGGAATGACCACCGTAACTCAGTATCTGGGATTTAAACCAACCGCTATAAATCCGTTTTTATAGACGCAAAACGTATCCGTGTATTCTTCAATACTCGAGATTTTGGCTTCAGTTCAGCCTATCTCTACCTGTTTGTCTCAGTTTTGTCATTTGTAGCCACTGTGTTTATCCCGTTAAACCTCTGGCCACTTTCTTCACCTCGTCTGCCTTGATTTATTTTAAATTCCTATCTTTGATCAATGCAAACTATCAAAGGTAATGGGAAATCGATTTGAGGATCCTGCACCCGTCATTTTAGTCACCAGGCTTTACTGGAGAAATGATCATTTAGCGAGTTTCTCGAATGTGAAAGATTATTTGATTGCACGAACTATAACATCGAGCTTTTTGGTAGGTTCTTTCTCTTCCACAATGGCGCAGTACAGTCCCTTGTGGGCTTTTTGTCGTTTCCCGCACGAAGAGACGTAACTCCATTCCAAGGTTGCAAAATAGACTCAACTCAATTTTGTACGAAGGTAAACCTGTATAATTTTTGTCGAAAATGTGTACGATTTTTGCATGTGATCAGAGGAAAATTCCGCGAAAGTTTTGGTTGGAAATTCTCAAAATTCTCCTGGGTAAAATGCAATTTGTGCGGAAAAATCTTACAACAATGAAATGTAGTTGCGTTCTTTCATGGAGAAACGATTTTTTGTCTCCAGAAAAACTTTTGGAGACACACCGTCCTATCTTCAATGTCCTTTTTTCCAAATGTATTATTGTTAAGTTACCAATTTCATTTGTCGATTTTCGCAATAGCAAAATTAAACCGTGAGCGCGCGCTCTGGGAGGCCAGCAGATCAGTTTTCAGATTTGCAGCTTGGCGCAAACTGTATTGCCACCTAGTATGATCGCCACAAAAGAAAAGTATCCCTCTTGCAGGTAATTTTACGGGAAAGAGAAAGAAAATTCAGACCTCTTGACGCCTCTACCTGTTGGCTAAGGCACCCCCCCCCCCTAAAAGTATATTTCAATTGAAAACGCCGTCGCAAAGTAATTGGTGCGGGATCTGTGAGGTAGCCACGAAAAAATACTTTAAGGAATCAAAAACTTTTAAACTTTTGAATCCACAGTTATACGTAAAAAAATAAAAAAAATGGTTCACCTGTAGTCGGACAAACTCTACTTTTTTCATTTTCCGGGGAGAACAGGAAATACCCCTCTCTCAAAGGACATGAAACGGTTCAAAGCGAAAAGTTACGGGCGACAACCAGCAACCGCTCGAACGATTACGCAAATAAATTAAGGGAGTTTCCTACTATGGTAGAGGAAAATGCCATTTCAAAACTTCGATGTTGTCAGATTATTCGCGATAAAAAGCCAATTTTCCTAAAAAGTTAGTTAATTTTTGGGTAGAACTTCTCAGGAAATTGTATTCGCAATTCAATCGAGTATTGCTGAAAATTTCATGGAAGCAAGTGTTATTTCCCGCAACAACGGAATTGAACAGAGGGAAGATTGGCAACATCTTATACACCCAGATAGGACGTTTAGCCTCAGCGCACGGCTATGACCCGGCACCTCTCGACCATGCACACTGCACATCGTCGCTTCGCTGATGTAACGGCGGATTTTTGTTTATACGTGAGCCTCATAGAGCATAGAACTGTTGGAATGATAGAGCTCATCTCGAAATGCATTTACGCTCCTACATTACCGGAACGGCAGCATATTCAACGTGTCCATAAGCGCAACGACTCCACGGACGTCATCTAGTGGTCCACGCTCTGCAATCGCAGTAACTTTAAAATCAGGATCGTTAAATGAACCAGGAAGCGCGGCCCGTGTTTTCCCGACGAATAAAAAAGTAGAACTACGTCATGAGTTGCGGGAACTCGTCCCGACGAAATGCTTCAGGACCCGGAAACAAATAATTTCAAAAGTTTTTAATGAGACCACCCGTTGCCAACCGTGGCTTATGCCAACCAACCAGAGAAAACTACCATGCTTCGTACCAACATTCAAAAGCGGCAAATTTCCAAGTCGATAATTAAATGACAAATTTTGAAAATCATTCCCGAAATTTGCAGACATGCAAGATCGAACTACGAATGAAGCCCTACAAAATGTTCAAACGGAAAAAATTCATAAGTTTTCGAGCAAATTTGTACTTCCTTGGTGGAGATTTGACGACGTCCAACCGCTATATGACGTTTTCCTTTACAAAAGCGGAAAAATAAAACCCAGCAATTGTATTGTGCGACTTTACATCCGAGAAAATCAATTTGATTTGGTTATAAAAAATGGAGCGGGAGTGACATAAAGCGAACTGTCCACCGGGTCTTAAATGCTCTAAAAAAGTAACGAAGCGAGGAGAAAAGAGTAAGATACAACAACGACAACGCAACAACAATCGGAGGGACAAACAGGACGAAAGAAAGAAAAACTCCCATAAATTAAATAAAGGATTGAGACCGTGAGTTTCTTAAACGTGCAGGGTTCACCCGGGACGGGACTGTGGAGCCAGTTCAAATGCACAGGAAGCACGTTCCATAAAACAATAGCATATTTCCCCCGTTAGTTTTGTAAGCAGGAACATTACGATGAAATTAAGAGGAATTATTTATATTTATTGCCGGGCGATGAGGACTGTTTTCTTTCTTTGCGGCGCGATGCGGTGGAGTTTACCAATGAACATGGATTCACGGGAAATCAATGGAGTTCTTGCGTGGGCCAAAGATTTATGATTTCATTTATGATTTCTTCAACTTAAAATTACACGAGGAAGATTATGGTGTCTCTAATTTTGCCTTAATTAAAAAACTAATATAGATTCATGTGTAATCAAGAGAGCATAGTACTTGACTTAAAAAATGAAATAAGAAAAAGTAAATATGCCTAAACTGAAATTAGGATTGTCTTTCATTTCTTGTAAATCTATGAATATCCATACGTGAGACTTGCACATCTGTCAGATGGGCTATAATCCAAAGATTTTACTTTATTCTGAAGGAGGGATAAAGCTATTAATTTTCAGTTCCGACAAGATACAGCTGGACGTATCTGAGAGAACCGTCTGCTCGACAAAGTAACGAAAAAAAATTTAGTTTGAATAGTGGCAAAAACATTTGTCATTAAGTACAAGACAGCAGGAGGTCCCCCTCTTTAACGGGATTTTTTGACATATTAACAGACAAGAGAGTGAACCACATCCCAACGCCGCAAATTTTTTTAATACATTTTGTATTTTTTCTGGAAAACTATTAACCATCCCTAACAAAACTGTTTACCAACTTCTAGGCTGATATCATAGAAAAAATTTAAAAAATTTGAACCGAAATCGTACGGCTGTATTTTTATTAAAATCTGGATTGTTCTAGTCAATTTTGCAGTCTCGGGGTGGACCCATTTATTTTTTTCCTCTAGAAAACGACAGGTTATCCTTGCTGTTTTATCTGAAATAAGGTCAATGTTTGCACGGGACCTCAGAGAATGTTTTCTGTGAAGACTAAAAATTCATTGTTCTCGACCCAACTTTGGAAAAACTGCTTTCCGCAAAAATTAGAACTTGACGCTTTTTCCCTCAGACAGTCACAATTTCCTCACATTTGCTGCTTTTGTGGGGCCGTTCAAGTATTAAGTAACGCATTTTTCCCGATTTGTGACTCCCTTCTTCTAACGCATCCGTAACGCAGGTATACTCCCCCCCCCCAATGTTGAATTATGCAACGCTGGTCTGACCCCGCCCTCCTCCTCCTATTCAAAAAAGTCACTCGGGAAGGGCGGGATTTTCAATATTTTGCACGTATTTTTCAAAGTCCTCCCCCCCTCCGGCTAGGATTTGTTGCGTAACACTGGGCTTGACCCCCCTCTTCCCCTGTAACGCAGCGTAACGCTGGCTCAAACCCCACGCCCTCCCCCTAAGTGCGTTACGTAATACTTAAACGGCTCCCTTGGACTACTTTTCAGTTGAGTAACATTGATTGATGGAGTTAAATACGAATTTGTTACAGGTTGCGGGTGTCTCCGGGACGTGAATCTGGAGATCAAGCCTTCGATCGTTCAGCGAGGTCACGAGACGACGCTCTTCTGTCACTACGATCTGGAGGACGGAGCGCCCCTCTACTCCGTCAAATGGTACCGAGGCAGGCACGAGTTCTACAGGTACTCGCCCACGGAGAGACCATCTACCAAGATATTCCCTTATGAAGGCATAAATGTCGATGTGAGTACTACCATTCTATAAATTGCACCGAAAATTTGTATTACAAGTTGATAGTCGGCTGGAATTTCTAGAAAAGATAGGGTCCGCAATGATGGAGTGCGTCAAATCATGAAAGTCAAAAATGGCATCGCATTCGACGTCATGACCAAACAGCTTGTCTGCAATGGTCATCTTTATAGGGTGACGGAAAGGAAGACTGCCGAAGAGGATGCTTGATTGGGTTCCTCCAGGGAGAAGACGAAGGGGACGCCCAGTGAAAGGGTGGCGACAGGGGGTTTTAGAGAAAATGAGGGAGTGCCAACTCCCTGAGAGGCTTTGAGAGGATAGGGGACTTTAGCGGCTGAGGGTAGCAGAGTGCCACAGAGCGCTATGAAGGCGGCTTCACGTACATAGATAGTCTTTTTGAATGGAATTAAATGTTTGATTGAATAAAATATAAAGGATAAAGGCTATGGAAAAGACATGAAGACATTAAACAACCTTTACACCAAATAAAATTGGGATGTTGAATTGACACCCTGATGGTTAAGAAAATGTGTGACTATCTCAAAAAGTCTGTCTCAACTGTCCCTAGGTGCTAACTTTAACATTCTCAGGATATCAGGGATAGCAGAGAGAAACATTTTGAAGTCGTCGCTTCTTTTTCAGACAACCAAAATGGTACCTTGTGCAACCCCTTAATTTTTTCGGTGGAATTGCCATTAAAACAAAAAATCACTTTTTTCCTCCAGAAATAATTTGTTGAGAAGCGCGATTCAATCGATGATTAGACATCTAGACGTGTCCGCAATCAGTCAAAATTAAAGATTAAGCTTCGTAATTGTGTTTTAAATATCTACTTACCCTATAAGTTCAATTGCTTTTGAGCATGCGTATATCCGTAAAGAGCAGAATGCAATTAGCGCAACGTGAAAAGATTCCACTCCACTCTCATACCGTCACCTTCCAGCCATAGTATCAGAGGCGCCTTGCGACGCTTAAAAAATTCCGCCGCCAATTTTTTTTTTTTTTTTTTTTTACTGAAAAATTGTTTAACGAAGCTGCCGATAAAATTCAGTGAAATTTTCAAACAGATTCAATCAACAATTTCTCTGTGAAAGAAAAAAAATGGCGGCGAGAATTTTTAAACGTCGTATGGCACTTGTGATACTTTAGCCGGAAGGTGACGATATCACTCGGGTTTTCCAAGGGCAAAATAGGTGCCGGAGTAAAAACTCAATTTATAAATTTCAGTAATGAGGCACCTAGGGCTCACGAATGAAAATTTTTCGAACATTGTCAAAAATAAAAAGCTTTACTACCCCATCAAACCCTTCGAAAATCAAACTTAGCTCACCGCACGGGACCTGTTCATCGGTGCTCCCCGTAATCTTTTCGTGGAACTTTCGCGATCAAAAGCTGCTTGCGTGAAACTCAGAGAAGAGCTTTTATTCTACTCCGGCGTCTCCTGCGGGAGGGAGGGGGTGGGTTTGCTAAGTGTTGCCGCCATGACTTGATTACGGGCCGCGGTCGTGGCTGTAATGGCCGGCCTTTTCTTTCCGTCCTTTCTTGACCGCTCCGTGACGCCCTGAAAGCTTTCCACTTTCGCACCTCGCAGTTCTCCGTCGCCTCCTTGCGGTTTCTCGCCGAGTTTCGAATGATGTCAGCTTCAGACGTCGTCACCGGGAAAAATCGGGTTACTCGTCCCGAGGAAAATAGCCCATTTTCCGTGACGCTGCATGAGGAAAGTACTTGTCACGTTAGGATAGCACTAGATCATGATAAGAAGAAAAGTTAAATCACTGGAGGTCATTTTTAACTATCAGGATTTCACAATGTTGATGATAAACACCTCCTAGACGCGTCTGATCACACTGCCTTGAATGCAATGCGGTTGTGTATCTGTTTATATTCGGTCTGTTAAACAGCTATATAAGTCGAACGACGAAACCACAAAATCAGTCGACGGTTTTGAAGAAACCCATGTCATCCATTGACAGAGCTTGAATTTTAAACTAAATTTGGAGGTATTTCATGAGAACAAGCTTGACTATATCAAACGCTGGCTAGTTTTCTCCTCTTTCGGTAGTGCAATCCGCCAGTTTTACGGTCGGAAAAAAAGTCAGGACTTTTAAAAATCACGGAAACTGACACGGAAACAAAAATCTGCTCAAATTTACCGCCGAGAAAATTTCCTTTTGAATCAATAAAAACAATAATGCTTGCTTAAAGAGGAAAATTCGCTTATATAAAAAGAAAAGTCACTTCCATCAAGCAGAAATCCGCTTTCATTCAGAGGTTTCATTCTTGATTCAAAATAAAATCTTCTTGACGACTTATTAAGATTGTTCCTACCTAAATCGCGTCACTTTATCCTCTAATGAAATTCAAACAATGTGCTAAACGTTATTAAATTCGGATGCTAGGACTTAGTGAGTTTTTGGACTACCGCTCTCTTTTCGTTGTATCTTAATTTATTTTGCGGGTAAAGCTCCGCACTCTTAAAGGATGTCTGTCGGTCTTAATGTGTTGGAACGCCTTCACTTTTGTATGATACTGTGCAACACCTCTGATGTGAAATAGTTGCTTGAGGCGCCGTGGCACGCTGCGGCGCGGCGCGGCGGGCGCCCGGACAGCGCATAACGCTCACTAGCGCCTACAAACCTAACAGAGATACTTCAAGCATTGCGTAATGCGTGAAGTATCCCCTTGGGTTTGTAGGCGCCAATGCGCATTGCGCGCTGGCCGTCGCCCCTCATCGTGCCCCGGCGTCTTAAGGAACTATTTTACAACACGGGTCTTGCACAGTATGTTTCGCGCGGTATGCACGTTTCGCGCTGCCAGCACGCCGCTCCGCTCCGCTCTGTATTATTTCAACTCTTATTATTTCAACTCGCGGAGTCAGCGTTTTTCAATTCATGATTATGCAATGTTTGCACGCTATGCATGGATTATTCTCATTTAAATCAATGAAAAACAAGCAGTGAACTCCAACACAATGTGTTGATAAGGCGCGTCATTAACTCGCACATATCAACCCCTTTAGTTTTCATTTACAGAGATTTCAAAATAGGCAAACAGCATAAAAAGAGAATTCACGATCCAACACTGCGAGGTCAAAGACGCACCTTGACGAGACCGTGTATTGTGAAAGTAGAAAGCTATTCGATCGAATTTAAGTTTTTTGATCTGCCTCAAGCAAAATCTTATCAGATTCTTGAAGAAAAGTGCTACGGAATAATTTAAGCGAAGAAAGGAAAAATTCTGTCGAACTCCTAGAAGATAAAGTCGATTTAAAGGTATTTTGGGGCTAAAATACCCAAATCACCGGTAGTAAAAATCCCGTTATATTATTGAAAAGAAATTGACTCGATATAAATGCAATTGCATTAAATACGTCTTGATTTTGTTATTTTAAACGTCTTTCCATGCAAAGAAGTTCAACCATGTCGTTGCTTTATTCATTCATGAATTGAAAGTAAGCAATCTACATCCCGAAAATCTACTGATTTGCCGTAAAAAATTGCAGAAACTTGATATACCAGGTCGATGCACCCACTCGTTGAATTTACCAACCAATTTTGTGAGTGCAAATGTGTAAGAATCAATATGCTATAGTCATTTTGGGTGCATTTATTTTTCATGAAACAATAATAATTTCAATCCCGAAAAACCATCAATTTTCCGTATAAAATCGAAAAAATCAAAATATGTCAACTCCCCGACGTGAAAATTAGATTCTACGTATGTAAAATGTAAATACTTATGTATCGATATGCTGAACAGAACTATGTGTGGACAGTCAGAAGCCCGCGGCAACATTAATTCAACAGAAAAACTGTAAAAATTAGATAGGATTTTAGCCGCTTTGCCCGCCTCTCCTCGCTACTTACAACAAACCGTTCTTATACTCATCTCAAAATTTTTCTCAGAGCTTTGGGTTATTATCAGCTTCCATTTAAACTCCGGTTCGATGGCCGAATCGGCTGCCAAAAAAGCAAGCCACTGTTGAGGGGTTCTATGAGAAATTCGTGATATTATCGGCTCTCAGGAAATCACCCCATGGCTAAAATTGGTGGTATAAATGTTTAAGTGCTTAAAATAATCGTATTCAAGAAACTAAGGAATTAAACTATGGAGTCAATTTCTTTTTAATAATATAACGAATTTACTACCGGTGATTTAGCTATTATAGCCCCAGAATACTTTTAAAGCGCCTTTGCGTTCCAGAATCTCGACGGAATTTTTTTTTTTTTTTTTTTTGCTTAAACGATTCAAGAAACATTGTAGTTAAAAATATAAAGATTTTTCGATTTGGACGTATGAAAAATGTTTAACTCGTTCAGGCACACCGTGTATTGTATGGAGTACTGCTGTTATTCGACCGTTGTCTTCAGGTCAAAATTCTTACAAAGAAGCCCCTTGCAAGAGGCAAATTTTTTGTAATTTCTCCCAGTTTTTTCAGCGTTAGGTATATAAATGAATTGTTTGTCAAATTTTGAGGTCAATTATATTTAATTGTAATTTATACTTTCTTTTTTTCCCCTTCATTTTATTTTTCGTATCGAGGAGTCGAGGTTTTGTTGATTTCTTCGGATTTCGATTACTGTAACTTCTCTTCTATTCGGCCGATTTTTATGAATGAGGTCTCTTTTTATTTGTGTTTTAACGGAGAGTAAGGAAAAAATTGCTAAATACATGCGAAACAATTTTTTTTGAAAATTGGATGAATCCTAGCGTGACGGTGAAATGGTTAATGAAGCGTGAGTAATTGGGGTACGGGTATCGGCCGCGTTGGGACCCAAGGCCCATTGTTCTTCGTGACGCCGACGCAGTGATCAGGAGCGTGGGGACGAGAGGGCTTAGTGGACTCCTGTATGAGCCACGTTTAGCAAATGGTCTAATGAGTCTCGAGGCTCATCACAGATTGCACTTACCACTATCCTGGTGGCCCCGGCTATCAGAGCAAGGAGTACCAACTTTTGAAAAGGATAACAGTGTTGTGGAGATATGTCAAAGCA